GCATTCGCTATGAACACGGCACAAGATCGGATCCGTGGAGACACTCCGTTCTATTCGATCCATGGCTGGGATCTAAGATCGACATTGGAAGCAACGTTACCGTTGGGGAGCACTTAAACACGCGATGCTGACCCTAGAAGGTGGCGATATAACGTCCACTCTAATATCAGAGGGAAATAGCAGTCGTAAACGAACCTCTCAAGATCGCGATCCAAGATCGAGCGGATCGACACAATGACAATAATGAAGTGTGTGATATAAAGTGCGGATCGCAAGTTTGTCTCTACTTGTGCCGAGTCAAAGACGGCTATGCTCGAAAGTTAATACATATGTGGCATGGACCGTTCCGAGTGGCGGAGTTATGTGGGGAACATGCTGTTCAGGTGGAGATCTAAAAAACTGTATTCCGATAGTGCGCGTCTCCAAGTTAAAGCCAGTGGTACAATTTCCCGATTGCCCAGGCAGTGCTAGTGACTAACTTTGAGGATTGTGCGGATTTCGATGAGTCGTTGTTGCCGGAAGATAGTTGGGAAAACGAGTTGGTTGCTGGCGAATACGAAGTGGAGAAAATTTTGGATGTACGATCAGGACGTAAAACTCGTTATGGCCGAGTGCATCGACATTTTTGGTTCAATGGAAGCAACACGACGATCCGACCTGGATAGACGAAGCGGACCTGAACTATAGCGCGTTGTTGCAAGATTTTGAGCGCAATCGTGCGAGTCAAAACCGGTTTGAAGTTATGCAGTCCTATGAGGAGGAGGAAACTGAAGATTAACTAGTAATCGAAGCGATGAGCGGTTGGCGCATGTCAAAATGTGGACGTGAAATGGTGAATGAGTATAGGTACAAGGAGGTTGTATGATATGATAGATCGTGGCTATATGTGAAATGAGTGGTGATAGCGGATCGAAGAGATCCGATCGCGGTTGAAAAGCCGAAGAAAAATAAGTTGATCTCAAGATGAAGAACAAGATTAAGAATAAAGAGAGATTGTATCGACTTATGGAACTATCTAAATCGAATCCTAGCGATCAAGCAGGAAAGAACTTACCCGAAATCTTGCGATCGATGATCCGGGGTGGTCAGCGATAGAGGAGGGATACTGGGAACGCCAAGGTTTAGCGGCATCTAGCAACGGGAGAGCAGCGATCAAATTAGGGATGCTCTTCGGTTTGCGTCACAGGCCATATTACCAAGGGGAAACCTCTTTGAAAGAAAAGAAGTGCAGAAAGCGATGGAAAACCTAATAGAGCCTTTCTCCATCTGGGTCGACGTCACCACAGCCGAGCGATCACACTCGGTCACCGGCACGGTAGAGGCGTCTGAGATTGCAGGACTGGTAGGCCTCGAGGTTTTAACATCTGAAAGTGGGATCGCAGAAGGCGATCCGAGGGGTCCTGATCTAGAAGCAAGAGGAGATGCCTGATCCGGATGGGCTGGATCGGACATCGTGTCGGAAGATGCCAAAGTGCTTGAAAAGGAATAAAGCACACAAGGTTGCACAGCCAGATCAACACCGTATGATGACTGACGGTGCAGGGGACGGTAATTTCTATTGGGATTTGGATCGGCGATCGCACGGGTCGCACGCTTCAGTTAAGACAATAATGCTATGATTGGTGGATACAGGCCGGGATGGGTAGCTAGCAATAGCGTACCGAAACCCAAAGTGGACAGGATCGTCCAGCCCGGGACGAGACTATAGGGTGGTCACACCCAGGTTGATTAATCAACCCGTCGTGAGACATGGCAAGACGAGACCCTCGATCTCACTGGAAGACCGCGATCTTAACCCAGGATCGCAAGTCCGATCTCAGCTGCGATCCGCTAGTAGGATCACGATCCGCTAGGAGGATCATGAGGATATCTTGGGTGGGCCACAAGAATATGCAACTGCTGATATACTGGGTGTGGACCACACAAATGCGAGGGGAGGATCTTCCTGGAAAGGTGACGCGTGGCGTCTGGTTTGGATGTACGGATAGGCATAGGGGTAGGGTTTAGGTTGGTTGGTTAACAGTAAAAAGAGTTCAAATTACTTCACAAGGCACACGTTATCTCTTCCGGGTAGGATCTTTGCCCCCCGTCGAATAAAGAGTCGCGCTACACGTCTACGCAACTGTCACACCTGGACTGTTTTGGCCAGTTGTGTTCAAGAACTCTCAGGCAACATAAACTGCGATCGGACGCAGCAAGACACGTAAAGGCAAGACGCGAGATCGCGAGACGATCAAGTGGTCAGAAGGATCGCGGATCAAGCAACCACATAGTGGACAAGGCGATCTTGTTGAGATCAGGGTAACTTATATCAGTACCCACCAGTACCCCGTGGTCGCGTAAAGATTTTCGCACGATCACAACCCCATCCCCAATACGGTCAAGTTTTCCTTTGACACGAGTCCACCTGGAAGAGTGCAACCCGCCCTACCAACGGGTAGACAAGGTGAGAAAGGCAACACACACGGAATCGGGGTTATCCCTCCATTTGTTGGTCGTCTGGGCGCCAGTGGAGAGTTCGGATCGACTCATAAATTGAGCGATCGCCACTCTACCATATACACCCTGCCATATTGTTCTGAAAAGCAACCTTTACAGGAACAGGCGTCTGTGCCGGTACAGTTGCTGCATTAATCTTATTATAAGCATGCACAATGCGCCACTCGCCATTTGGCCTATTGACACAAAACGTCGGTGTTAAGGAGATTTACTCTCACGAACCTTTCCAGCCGCGTGCTTAGCACGACAGAAATCGTCAATGACGTCCCACTGTTCTTTAGGCAACGGCCACTGCCGCAGTATTTATTTCCTGGAACTAAGTCAATTTCATGACGCACACCTCTATCAGGTGGTAAGACAGACGGTGGATTGTGACACACCACATCTTGAAATTCCTTAACAAAAGGATTAAATGGATCCAAAGGAGCTTCAAGGATCAAATGTCCACTTCACGCACTAAGTGCTGCTTTTGTGTCTTCTAGGACAGACTCATCAATTAATGAGGACGAGTTCAACTCGACATCGGGTCTAATGACCACTAGTTTGGATTAATCGCCTGCCTTTAAGACCTGGCCAAACTCGCCATCCGACATTTCGTCTAGCTCACACAGAGCATCCAAAGATGAAAGGGTTTCAAGGCTAACATTGCAATCAACCTGACCAGTCACTCCATTAACAAGCGTATGTAGTGTATTACTACTATCACTCAGTGACGGTGTGGACGCCTGGCGCTTTACAGTTGCCACCTGGCGTATAAGTCGTCTCTCGGAGACCTTACACCCCTTAGGGGTCAGGACAATACTGTCCCCTTTTATCAATTCTAACAGTAGTGCGCTCTTTACTAAAGACGATGTCTTGAACGACATCCGGTGAAAGGTTGAAAAGCTCGAACACTTTACCCAGTGGATTTCCAGGTGCCACTCCACGTAAACAATGAGGGCCGAGACCCGAACTGAAAGGCGTTTCGCCAACAATGTCATCACCGACATTAAGTGTGATGCCTTCACAGCCGACCCTACTCGGAGAAATTCCACGTGCCATCTCACGCACATCAAAGAAATCACGTCCTTAACAATTCGGACCTAGGACTACCATGCTTTCAGCATGCAGTGACTCGTTATCACAACGAGTAACACTCAACGGAGTACGTGCCGTATCACCAAAATTTAACGAGCTACGCTCAGAATCTATGTTTACAACATTGGAGTTAGACAACTCAGACATTCCAATGTCCAGTACATTGGCATCTTCTGCCAAAGGCTCGCGCCAGTAGTGCTTCTGTTGCCAAGTGAAGGTGGGTTCATGAATTTCCAAACTTTGCTAGGAACGTTGCGCGTGGCGTCTAAGGTCATAAACCTCCAATCAATCCATGGCTCACGGCGTTCACGCAAATCCATACCAAGGATGAGATCACATCTCGAGTCCAAATCAAGGACCAGACAGTGTTCAATGCTGTCAAAGTCTAAAAATTGTATACCTAAGCTCAAAGGAACTTTAGGCACAGTAACATGGAACTTTAGGCACAGTAATACGACTTCCAGTTGCTAAACGAACGGTGATAGAATCACCCTCATGCGCCGTAAGCACCTCAGCATAACGTTGACTTCCCTCAAGGGAACGACGTCGATCACAACTACAAGACGCTCCAGAGTCGATCAATATTGACCAAGGCCTCTCAAAGCGCTTAATTTTTGCCTCGGCGACTAACAAGCCAAACTTGCATCCACGCTTCATACCAATAGGTATGTAGCTCTTTGGGGCTAATCTCTGTTTAACTTTACCTCCTAAATGTGTAACAGAACCCAGTTCTTCCCCAGTAGGGCGCCCCGCGCCTATTGGAAGTCGGCAATTCCCGTGCCGTGCCAGACTTCTGGCTCGGGGTTGAATGTTGGCTTGTAGGTTGACGCTGTTTAAGTAAAGGGCAACCAGACCGCAAGTGCTTAGTGCTTCCGCACGTAAAACATCGTCGCACGACGCGTTGCTGCTCAGCAGCTTGAAGTTCAACTTCAACTTCATCTTCAGCATAGCTGAGATTCATCGGTTCCGGCCTGTTAAAGGCTGGACCACTCGTGGAGTTTGCTCTCGCAAAGCTAGTGTTGTACCCAATCCAGCCAAGCCTGGACGACGTGAAATTATGTCCAGCATTAAGAGAAATTATCACGGCCTCTTCAAACGTAGAGGGGTGAACCTGTAAAACTTCGGTTCTGACAATGCCAGTACGAAGACCTTCCATGAAGATAGTCACATGATTGCCTCGGGCAGAGGTTCAGACTGAATTGCAACTATGAGAGTTTCCAACTCTTGTACACAGTCCATAACTCATTCTTACCCTGACGGGTAGACAAAAAGCGTGAACGGACGCGGTAAGCTTGGTTAGGTGGTGAGGACATTTGTACCAGTTGTGACTTACGAGACTCCCATGTGGGAAACGCTAAGTCAACCGACGTACTACACTTCAAAGCCCATTTGCTAGCTCTTCCATCGAGCTTTGAAATAGCCAGCTAGACCTGTTCATGGTCAAGATTGATCAGGCCTGCTCTCATGGCCGTCTCAATCTCACGAACCCAGAGAATGAGGGTTTCACCCTCCTTACCGGAGAAGATCTTAACTTCCACTCCAAGTGGACGAGACCTAGCCTCTTCATCTGGTACAGACATACAGCGTGTAGGAATAGCCGACGCTACTTGGTCTTGGAACTGCCGTAGAAGGATCGCTTCATACTGCATGAAGCCTTCAACACGTGCATTTAGCACATCAGGGCCTTGTGAGACAAATAACTCCACGTACTCTGAACCCAAAGATGCGGTCAGCTGATCAAGCGCCACCTTTTGGGCCTCAGAGAGGGGAGTTGGGTGTTCCATCCTCACAGAGGATCAGTCTAAATAGACTCAGGCGTAGTTTGACTACAAGTGCTACCAAGTGTAGCGGAGCTACACAGATCCTTAAGTCAGAGGAAGACTTACCGCTCAACGAGCAACTTAGTTCTAAAGAACTAGACTCGATGAGTCAACAAGCGTGAAGCTTATGGTCCTTGTTCCAGGGGACCAAACGATTCAGTGAATCCACAGCACTTAGTGCTCAAGCGTAACTAGCTACCTCAAGGAGGTGTTGCCAACTCTTAGTGATCAGTGATCAACGGCCAAAGACGCCTCGCAAGGCACGTGTCTTTAAGATCAAAAGGGAACTGGATTTTATCTGCATTTAAACCTATAGAATATCTGAATCCTAATCTAGACACTCATGTCCAGATCTTAGTACAACTAAGATCTCTCCTATCTGGTGGCTGACACCAGTCAGCCCCTAAAAACCGATAAGATATTCTGTGTTTCTTACAGTGGGATATCATCCGTGTGTCTAAGACATAGAGTACCAGGAAACCAACTATGTGTAGGCCCTTTGCATGGTGCATTCTACCAGTACGTGTGTAAACCTTTTTCCTAAACAGCAATTTTATCAGAGAATAACTATCAGGACAAGTTTTTCATTCAACATTTGCGCTTCACGTCGTATATATGAGCCATGGATATCGGCGGCCTAAAGATTTTTTTGGCAAAAAGTACGAGCATGTGATTTTGAAGCTTTCTATGTCCAAAGATGAAGTAGAGATTGCAACACTAAGGCTTACTGGACATGCTTTGCGATGGTCACGAAAACTCAGATGACAGGTGCATTGCGTGAGTATCCGGGAGCAATGCCAAAACTCTGATCATCCGAACGAATAGCTGTATCAGTAGAGTTGACGTTGCTGATACAATTGTGTGCACGGCTCGTTTCCATTTTTGGGCGAATCGATCACGTCTCGCCAATTCTCGATCGGACGAGTTGGTACTTGTACAGCATGTGACTTTCTCAAGCACCTATCGCTGTAGAAATGTCGCGCATGGCTTTAGACTACATGTGCCAGTGCAGACAGCTCTACCAAAGCCAACTGTGCTTCGTCTGTACATAATCTGGCAGCGTGGCAAATGAAATGGAATTAGCGTTTAGTTCGCCGTGATGAGTATAATCCGGATTGACATCGTGACTTGCCGCTTGGTCCCGGCATCACCTTGTGAAGTGTATATCACCTATTGGTTTCGGCAGGTCAAATCGATTGACTGTGTGCTACATCGACTCATGCAATGCATATTTTGCCGTTCTCGTTGCTCAAAAAGTCTATGCCATACTGCCACTGCATAGAAGTGCTTCTGCAAAATTACATATCGGTCGACGGCAAGAGACCATGTACAATTGAAACATCGGATAAGCGAGCCTGTAACGGGGCACCCTTTGTCTGGGTGCCACGAAACTTCACGCATACTAGTATGTGCAGAGGAAGCTAATCTACTTACACGACTCGTTTAAGTAAGGGTACAAAGGGAACTCTTTTTAGTATAGTAAAGCTATCAATATAACTAAAATCTTTATCGAACTGTATTAATCTACATTGTCGTATGACGACAACCTGCTAACCATTTAATGCGCGCGTCTAGCAGCGATTGGTAGTAGTCTATGGTTTATAAGTCTTATATCAACCAATCTTGGAGCAGCGAATGAATATGATTCAAAAAGGGATAATACTCCTTCAATATTATCCATCTCGGATGATATTGGCAGAAAATTGTCATGCTAGACAATCTCTCTATTGACACCGTTTGGTGTCGATATTAAAGGAAGTGATCGAAGTTTTGCAAAATGCACAGTGAATATATTTAGGTCCTTAGTTCACAACCTCCTGTTGCTACTCTAAGCCTACTGAATTCTTTCTGACTCTACGTTAGTAATCGTCTAGTCGTACATTACTAATCGTCTCGTCGTACGTTTCTAACTCAGATAGTGTGTTTCTAACAAACACCGTAACTTACTAAGATGGGGGACGTCACTGTCTGGCAGGACAGTGCTGGTGAACCCCGGCACACCAGTACCCGAAGGTTTTAACTTTTTGTTGCAGTCACTGGATATCGAACCAGTGACCTCTCGCATGGTGCTGCCACACCAAACCACTTGAGCTACAGGTTCTTGTGCGAATACGCATGCCGAGGCGCATTTGTGACAACACTCCCACTCGCCTCGGCAGAAGTTAGCACCTTGACACCCAGCATGTTCCGTAGATGTTGAAACTGTACTGCAGGAATTGGCTTCGTCATCAGGTCGGCCTTCATGTCCTTGGTCGAGCAGTATTCCAACACCAATGTTCCTTCAGCCACTTTTTCGCGTACAAAGTGATACCGAATGTCAATGTGTTTTGTGCGCTTGTGAAATTCGGGATTTTTGGCCAAAGCGATGGAACCTCGATTGTCTTCGTAAATCTTGACAGCTTCATCGCTCCTCATCTCGTCGAGCTCACATAATAGTGCCTTCAGCCAAATTGCTTCTTGTGCAGATTCCGTCAAAGCCATGTACTCCGCTTCCGTAGATGAAAGAGCCACAGTGCTCTGCTTCTTACTTCTCCAGCTTACACACCCGTTGTTCAATATGAACGTGTACCCGCTTGTGCTTCGTCGAGCTTCCACGTCTCCGGCCCAGTCTGCATCCGAGTAGCCGTGCAGTTTGTCATTGTTTGTTGCTTGATACTCGATTCCATATTCCCTTGTGCCTTGGATGTAACGTAACACCCGCTTAAGAGCTTGCCAATGGGTCGGACAAGGGTCTGCCGAGAACTGGCTAAGCACTCCCACTGCAGCTGCAAGGTCTGGGCGTGTACCCACCATAAGGTACATCAAGCAGCCGACTGCGTTGCGAAATGACACATTTGCCATCGTTTCGTCATGCTTGCACCCATCCACGCACATTGACTTTGTCAGCTTGAGTCCTGGTTCTTGTGAAGTTCTGACCGGATTGCTGTTATCCATGCCAAATTTCTCAAGGATGTCCTTTGCAAATTTGGACTGACAAATCGAAATCGTACCAGCTGAACGATCTTGGTTAACTTCCACTCCTAGGAAGTACTTGAGGTCGCCAAGATCCGTCATGTCAAACCGCTCACTTAGCGCATCCTTTGTAGCTCTAATCAGTTCGGCGTTGTTGCTTACGAGGACCAAATCGTCAACGTACAGCGCTATAAAAATCCAGTCTTCTTGATCTCGCTTGAAATAAATGCAATGGTCGGTCTTACACTTCTTAAAATCCAAGTCCAGCATAAACTTGTAAATGGTCTGGTTCCACATCCGTGGGGACTGCTTCAGACCATATAGAGAGCGCTTTAGCTGGCAAACAAAGTCCGGATGATCTTCATCAACGTATCCATCCGGCTGCGCCATGTGAGTATCTTCCTCAAGATGTCCATTTAGAAATGCTGTCTTGACATCCATCTGGTGAATCATGAACGAGTACTTCGCCGCTAAGCTGAGTAAAACTCGGATTGATGTGAACTTGGCCACAGGAGCGAAGGTCTCGTCATAGTCAATGCCATGTTTCTGTAAGAAACCTTTGGCTACCAAACGCGCTTTGAACCGCTCGATTCTTCCATCCTTGGTCTCCTTTACCCGAAATACCCATCGATTACCAATTGCCTTGCGTCCCTGTGGAAGCGGCACGAGATTCCAGGTCTCATTTTGACGAGGGGAATTTATTTCGGAGTCACAAGCCTCTTTCCACTTGACTGCGTCACTGGATTCCATTGCTGACTTGAATGTCCTTGGTAAATCTCCCACTGAATCCACGACGTAGGCAGTCTCAACAGAGTGACTGGTATCAGCATTCGCAGACATCTCGGCCATGGTAAGGTAGCGAGCTCGACGTTTCGCATCAGGAGCGTTGGCCAAGGCCTCGAGCGACTGTGTGCGTTGGTGTCTCTTAACGCCGGGTTCATCAACGCCATCCATTGTAGCCTCTTCAAAATTCATGTTGCTGGTGTCATGAGAGGAGTAGTCCTCCATAGGTTCATCCTCATCTTCCATAAAAGCTTCTTCTTCGACGACGGCTCCATCTTGCACACAGTCGCGTCTCCCACTGTCGAAAACATTCTCCATGAACTGTGCGTCGCGACTGACCAGTACACGACGACTCTTGATCTCCTCGAAACGGTACGCTTTTTCATGGTCGGAGTATCCAATGAACCGACACTGAATCGATCTTGCATCGAGCTTGGACCGCTTTGGCTTGGGCACATGCACGTATGCATGACAACCGAACACCTTCAGGTTTGCAAGTATAGGTTTCTTACCACTCCATACTTCGTAGGGTGACTTGTCGTGACTTGTTGAACGACTTGGACAGCGAAGACGTAGGAAGTTCGCAGTCATGACTGCCTCACCCTAATACGACTTGGATAACTCAGCATGTTCCATCATGCAACGAGCGCTTTCCACTAATGTCCGATTCATTCGCTCAGCGACACCGTTCAATTGAGGAGTGTAAGGCGGCGTGAATTTCTGCATGATACCATGGTCCGCACAGAACTTGGACATCGATCTGGAAGTGTACTCACCACCATTATCGCTTCGAAGAGTCTTCACACGTTTGCCAGTTTGGGTTTCCGCCAACGCAACAAATTGAGCGAACTTGGTCGCTACTTCAGACTTGTTTTGAAGCAGATACACCACACAGTAGTGCGAGTATTCGTCAATGAAAGTCACGAAGTATCGTTTTCCACTGAAGGTAGGAGTTTTCATGGGGCCACACACATCGCTGTGAATGACCTCCAGCAACATACGTGCTCGGTCGGGTGACTTGGGCATATAGCTCACACGTGATTGTTTGCCAAGTGCGCATCCTTTACAAAACTCCCACTTCTGCACAGACTTCATGCCGATTCCACTGCCGTAATCTTTCTTGACGATGGCGTCTAGACCACCATGACCAATGTGGCCAAGTCGAAGGTGCCAGAGGTAGGAAGTGTTGTCTCCTTTGAAGTTTATTGGACTCGCCACATTGACCTCGTCAGGAAACTCCGGTGTCATACAAAGCTTGAACAATCCCTTTACTTCTAGAGCGCCTAGTTTCCACTTGAAACCCTTCGTTTCCGCGAAGCAACCATCGACTTCAAAGGTGACAGGCCCCACGTCCTTGATGAATCTTCCAACGGAAAATAAGTTTCGAGATAACTCTGGGTATGCCACACATTTGTGAGCACACCATTCTTGACCCCTTGACGAGTCCTCATTGGCATGACAATGTCACCCTTTTAATCGCTTGTACAATACCATCATCAGCAAGATGCACATCTACTGGTCCAAAGTCCTTGTAGTTCCTCATGAACTCTTTCGAACTTGTCATGTGCTGCGTCGCCCCTGAATCGACCAGCCACATGTAACTCGACTTGGTCTTGCCACCACCAACCGAGAACATGTAATCGCCAAGCTCCGGTTCTTGCGCGATGTTTGCACGCTGGTACCTGTGTCGATCAGCGTCTTCCTGGATGCGCGAGGGGCATTCGGCAATCCAATGTCCCTGCTTTCCACAATTGTGGCACGCACCGGTCTTCTTAGCCGGTCGAGCCTTGCGCTTGTTGTCTCTTGACATGAATGCTTGAGCTTGACCGTGCGCGGCTCCTTCGATTCCGCCACCTTGCTCCTTGCGCTTCATGTCTTCATGCAATAGCCGAGACGTCACTAGTTCCCACGACAGAGAGTCGGCTCTCGACTCCAATGCTGTTATCAGGAACTGGTACGACTCGCTAAGACTGGCCAGAAGCGTGATGATCAAATCATCTTCACTGACCGGAGCACCGACTGCGTCCAATTGCTCCGCCAGAGTCTTGAGTCTGTTGATGTGCTCCACCACGTCATCACCTTCTCCCATCATTGTCGTGAAGAACCGGCGACGAAGGAAGAGCTTATTAGCCAAGCTTTTCTTCTCGTAGTGTCCTTCTAGACGTGACCATGCATCATATTCGCGTCCTTCGCCGAGCAAACCAGTGGCAACTACGAATCCTCCATCGCATACAGATCATCGCTAGCGCCTTCCGTGACTATGGCTTGAACGTCGATTGGTCCAAAGTACTTGTACAGTGCTCGATCTTGACCTCGCCGTTCATGACGTCCCAATGGGCTCGCTCCTCCCGCACCATTTGCATCTTAAACTTTCACACATGGAAGTTTGTTCCGGTGAACTTGTTGATTCGAGCGGCGGCGAACGGATATGAGTCAATGGCGAAGGCTTGATCGAGGTCTTGGGCAGAGTTTGCAAACATGGGCTCATAACCAAATGGAAGTGATCGAGGTTTTGCAAAATGCACAGTGAATATATTTAGGTCCTTAGTTCTCAACCTCCTGGTGCTACTCGAAGCCTGCTTTATTCTTTCGGACTCTACGTTGGTAATCGTCTAGTCGTACATTACTAATCGTCTCGTCGTACGTTTCTAACTCAGATAGTGTGTTTCTAACAAACACCGTAACTTACTAAGATGGGGGACGTCACTGTCTGGCAGGACAGTGCTGGTGAACCCCGGCACACCAGTACCCGAAGGTTTTAACTTTTTGTTGCAGTCACTGGATATCGAACCAGTGACCTCTCGCATGGTGCTGCCACACCAAACCACTTGAGCTACAGGTTCTTGTGCGAATACGCATGCCGAGGCAAATTTGTGACAACAGATATCATGTAACGGGCTCGTTACAAAGCCCAAACCTTTTTGGACACATGGGGTCACTTAGAACGATCGCACACCACATCACCTTGCTAGGTCAGGTAAAGCTCTGTCATGAAAACATTAGTCAGCGAGACGGTAGCGCAACGCAGCACACTACCCGACTGGTTTTGTCGGAACGACCGGTGCTAAAGCATATATCATACCTTGTATGTACTGCAGCAGCGGACGTCTAACTAATCTGCCTCGATCTCACATGTCTCGTGTCATTTTGTTTGTCGACACACATCGTTCTATATCATGTACATGTGCATTCCAGGATGAACGGAACCTATTGTTTCATGGAGTTTTGTGAGCGTTTTCGCCGAAGTGTTTTGCCGTGGCGTCACATCCTCAGAGCCGAACACATCTCTGTGTTTTATCTGTCGTTTACAGGTGTGTGTATCAGATGGCTTAATCATGATCAAGATACTTGGCAATGGACATTTCCTTTTAAAAAATGACCATCAGCCATTTGACTTGGCCGACAACGACCTCTCTTCTGCGATCGTAGTGGAAAAAGTCGACACACTCTTGTAGGTCAGCATACTTGTTTCCCCTAGGGAGGGAAAATCGAGGGAAACATACATGACTTGCTTGCATGACTTTTTTCCTCCCGTTCACCCCACGACCTTGACTATACAGTAGAGAACGAGTTTTGCGAGCAACTGTTGTACGCTTGTGTATTGTACGCTTGTATAATGCACAACACAAAGCAACCAGAACACGCGTAAGGATCGAGCTATCAACAAAACTGTTGGGCATGATGCAAATAGATTATGCGCGTTCATCGCTGGATGAGGTCACGAGTCGTTGGTTGTCAGAACGTTCATGGGTTTTGTTCGAAATCGTACGATTGTACCCTAAAGTCCAAACCTGCCGCAAACTCTTGATTCAAGTAAGACCAGCAGGACTTACAATATCAGGTCGATGAAGACGGATCCATAACCGCTATCAGTCTTTTCAGTCGGTCCGTTTTCCTGAATCGATGCCTTGAACGGCAGGACGAAGGGGTACATGGCAGTTTCGACGATTCACAGGACAACGATATTTTGCAGTGGTACAATGTACCATCCGAATGCAGAAACCCCTCGGAATCCGGGAAAAGTCGTCTCGAAAAAGATTCCTTGGCACTTCATATCTGATACTGAGCTTCGGACTTCTCATTTGATCTAAGCAATGAGGCGGACGTCTGAGATGACACCGTTGGTGCCCGAGAGCACCCGTTTGCGTCGCAGGTTCGCGCTCCGTCCGACCATCACTCACTTCTTGCTGCTCACGATCGTTGGCTTCTCCCTCTTGTTCGTGCTCGTCGTGCACGAGACGTGGCCGATATCAACTGTGACGAACCTCAAAGGCACGATCAAGTTTGACGAGGTTTTCTGCGGACCCGCGAGCCATGAGACGGGGTACCTCAAGCTCCCGAATACAGATAACGACCACTATTTCTATTGGTTCGTGGAATCTCAGACCGCGCCGCAGAAAGACCCTCTGGTCCTCTGGCTTACTGGAGGGCCAGGCTGTTCCAGTCTAATGGCCCTATTGGCTGAAAATGGGCCCTGTCGAGTCCAATCAGATCTGTCTACGGTAATCAATCCCTCTGCTTGGAACAATCAAGCCAATGTGATTTGGCTGGACCAACCAACAGGCGTTGGGTTCTCATATGGTTCTGAACAGGACAAGGACTCGACCGAGGTCGATGTGGCTGAAAACATCTACTGGTTCCTGCAGGCGTTTCTCAAGAAACACCCCGACTTGAATGACCGCGAGTTCTTTTTGACGGGGGAGAGCTACGGTGGTCACTATGTGCCTGCAACTGCTAGTCACATTTTGAAGGCCAATATGCTTCAGCACTTGCATCCGAACGCTAGTCATATCAACTTAGCAGGGATTACAATTGGCAACGGACTGACGGACCCAGCAGTGCAATACCAGCACAGTGTCGACATGGCATTCAACTCATACAACGTCACGCTGCTGCAAGCAGAAGCGATCGAAGGTATGCGCAAAGCGCAGCCAGTGTGCCACGAGCTCATTTTAAAGTGTCAGAGAGACCATCAAGTATGCGCTGATGCCATGGAGTTTTGTTTTGCGACCTTGGAAAGCCCGTACTATCGGTCTGGACGGAACCCATACGATATTCGCAAGCCATGCGTGGCAGAAAATGTGATGACGTGTTTTCATTTTGAGCACATTGAAGAGTACTTGAACACCCCTCGTGTATTGGCAGATCTAGGTGTCAATGTTCACAAGTCGAAACCATGGCAGGAGTGCGATGCTACGGTCAATGCACGCTTTTCGTTCGATGAAATGCAGTCTTCTGCTGGTGACGTCAAATTCCTGCTGGATGCGGGCGTGAGAGTGTTGATTTACGCTGGTGACGCTGATCTCATGTGCAACTGGGTGGGCAATCAAGCGTGGGTGATGGCGCTCGATTGGAGCGGTAAAGCGGCCTTTAATGCTGCGGCAAATCGCCAGTTCCAAACGCCTGAGATCCCGGACGCAGGACGCGTTCGAACGTTTGAGAACTTAGCGTTTGTTCGCGTCTTTAACTCGGGTCACATGGTTCCGATGGATCAACCGGTCGTTTCGTTCCAGATGGTCAACAAATTCCTCCACAATGAAGAATTGTGATCCCAGCGTAAGGTTACTTAAGCAAGAAGCAGAAGTGTGAAAAGCTTTGGATTTATTGATCATTATGAGGCATCGAGATCCAGACAGTTTGCGTGGAGAGAGAGGAGGATCATGTGTGTAAGCGATAAGTCCTTGTGAAATGCAATCAATTCTCGCTCCATTGATAATATTGATGTTAATGCGCTTTTAATCAATCCGAATAATGTCATGACACATCTGGCATACTGCTTCCGCCGCAACTCCCTGGACGCCCGTTTCGACCTTTTCTACAATCTCGATGTCGAATTGCTGTGCTTCACTACGTGTCACCTTCGGTTGCAGATACGTTGCCGGCACTCGGTGCTTAGCGGTGCAGACTTTCATTTCGGTTATAGTAGCGACGCAGCGCCGTCCTCCGAAAATCGCTGTCGCACTCAGTTAAGTACCAGACACAGTCAGCAGGAAATTCACAACATGAAGGACCTTGCAGTAAGTCCGTGCCGCAGTAATCAGCAGAACTGAATTCAGACTGGTCACGTCATCACGCTTTCAAGTATCCTTTGGTCTTCTGTAACTTCGGTTCCAAACTCGGCAAAGGATAACGTGGTTCGCAGCAGTTTATGTAGTAGCGCACTTAATATCATCAGGTTATCATCCACTGAGAGCAATCCTGTTCAGCCTGATCGCATGTCGTATCCACCTGGCTGAAGAGATCAAGCAAAGCACGTCATGAGACTTCTTGTCAGCATGACGGTAGTGCAAGCTGGCACATGAAACACACATTCTGGTTCATACGTCTCTAACCAATAAATAACCCTCCCATGCAAAAGTGCTGCTTTGTGTAGCCACGAACATTGCAGTGGACGTCTCGTATGAAACGGCCACCAGCTCTTACTTTTGGCCGACAACTCAGTTATCGTTAATCCTCAATACCGATTCGTTATTCGTAAGCTCGCTAACTTGCATCTCTCAGTGACACGTAAGAAATTACGTGTTCGTCATACCGGTGTTGGTAGATGCTTGGAGAAAGTCTGTCGCGCTGTGACAAATGGATTTTGTATTCCGTTTTTGCTTACAGCTTCACTAACTCAACCCGCTTTGCATCATTCTGTCTGACGATTCCTTTCATTCTGTTAGACGACTGCCATCTTCTTGCTAGCGCTTCCCATCATTCTAAGTTGCCAGCCGTAACTTCAACCGTTTAATACGTCCTTTAAGTGCATCCGTTTCTAGAGCACTGTTTACTCCTAACAGCACGCATGACGGCTCAATGGCGTGTGCGAGCAATATATAGCGGCAATCTGAAGTAAGGTGGGAAATTGTTAAATCTACCACACATGTTTACCAAAAAACCACACTTTTGTGCATTACGCGACATACATAACACATTGCTTTTTAACACTTGATCATTAACTGTAAAGACAATGCCAAAGATGGAAAGTTGTACGCATAGTCTCATGAACGTACTGACGAGAGGTCACATGGTGTGTACTTTATGCGACCATGCTCCGTAGCTTGCGGTTTAGTAAAAAGGGATTTAGCGCTGTCGATTTTTTATATGCGATAGGAGATTGCTTTTGCATCTTTGCAGCAACAGATAGTAGTCTCCAGGCAACGATGAAATGTGCAACGTCAATATACACGGAGTGCTATAATACTTTACATTCACAACAACGCGGTCCACTGCTAAAACCTCTCGCTGTACACTAACGCCGAGTAATATTGGTTTAGATTAAAGTAGTTCCATTCAATCCAAATGGTAATCGATTTATGACGGGTAACTTTCGCTTTACGGCACACCAGGCCTCATAAGTTTACGGACTTGGCAAAAAATACTTACGGATATCTATAACTAAAGGTTACGGTCATCCAAAAGTGGCTAAAAAATGCAAAATCCCGAGGTTCTCGTAGTTCGGATTCTGAACAGGTCTGCACCAATAATACCCGCACCGGCGCCGTTCACGTCGTCGTTGACTCGCTAGTATGTCGAAGAAGCAGGTTACGCCCTTTCAGCCTGCCTATTGCCTGGAATTCGAATTGATGGTCGCCGAGAAGGCCAGCAAACACCTCACGTCGGTAGTCTGCAGCTTCTGTGTAACGGGGCACCCTGAAGCTTGTACTGATGACAGTTCAAGCTACTTATTCTGACGACAGAATAGGCGGTGCCTCGTAACTTCACATACACTGGTAGGTGCAGAGGAAGACGGCAAGAAGAAGCGATTACTTGGTTAAAGTAAAAAGTAGAACTGTATTTAGCATAGTTAATGTCTGTTAATAAATCACAGTTTATCTTCATCTAACTATGTCTAAATACAAACGTACGTATCAACTATCTGCTCACCACTCATTGCGTGCGTCTGTCGTGGAGCGTCTTCGTTGGTTGATATAATGGCCTATGTCAACCAATTAGGAACTACTCGTAAGTGCTACAAAATATTTGTCCTTATGACAATATTCTGAGAATATAACTCTTATAGTTATATTCTATTAACAGTTTCTTATAAATTCTTATGTAACGATTCACACCGTTACATCACCCCCCTTAACCACCAGTCACTTTAGTGACTGATTGACTAAATGGATACTCGTCCCAAATCATTTGGGACAGGGTTTGCACTTGTTGGTCCGAGTCCACATTCCAACATCTCATCGCATGGTAAACAAGCCCATGCGGTGCGCGAACAAGGCAGCTGAGAGCGCGTCTGCAAGTATCGGTGCGGACGCCGAAGCAGAAACCACAGCAACCGATGTGTCATCGGTTGCTAAAGCGTCTCAGCCTGTGTCACCTGGTGATGCAGGCGCTCGTCATGAAGACACTCATGTCTTCACAGAGTATGAGCTCGGTGTCTCATACTCTCCTGATACGGAAGAGGGATTTGTATCGAAGGCGGTTGAAACCAAGCCGCCTGCCAAGCGTGGCATGGATGATGCTACTCGTCGTAGGATCTTTGGTTCGTCTGACGAATTAAGTGAACCATCGCCGAAGCGAAGGCGCTCGAGATCGCAAGACTCGGGCGCTCACAGTGGTGTCGTTTCTTCTATTGACACCACTTCGCAGCGAGGTACCAGTACTTCTGTTGGCACGTCGCAGGAAGAGCGAGTCCGCAGCGTGTTGCGTCTCGCTCCCGAAAAGAAGGCATGGCTGCCTCCAAAGTCAGTCATGGATCGCTCGTCGGCGACGACAAGTGATCGCTATCGAACACGATTATTCGATTCGTCTAGGATCCATCACCTTGACCCCAGTGCGAAAGCCTATCACACGGAACATGAATTCTTCATCGATGCTTTCTTTAAACATCTATGGTACAGTGGGAATCACAAACGTGATGGACCCTCACTGCTTTAAGCGTGGAACGCTTACATCCATAATCCTGAGGATGTAGGTCGTGACGTTTGGAACGACAAACTTATCAAAGCTGGTGATAAGTTTGAGAAAAGAACTACGACAGGTGCACACTATAAGCTGCATCTTCTGTCAAAGAAGGGTGGGTTACTCTGTCTTTCCTGGGGAGACCCGTGCCCTTGTTGTGTAAACAACTCAGCGCGCGCACCTAAGGAGGCTTACCTCCCTACTAGCCCGTGGTGGCGCGTACGTATCTCTAGTGAGATGTACGAAGGGATTGACAACCTGAAATCCCTTTACGACCGTGCCGGGAAGACTTTCTCCGGCGGTCCTTCTGCGGCACAGGATGTGCCGCGTCGTACTGCTCAACCAGACCCAGTACGTCGATCATCAGTTGGGAGCGGGGCTCCCAAGAACCCCAGGACGGGGGATGGCCGCGCCACCGGACGAGATAACTCGTCCGACGTCCGTTCACGTCGCGGTGGTTCAACAGCTGCTCAACTAGATAGCGCTGGCCACCGCGAGAGTCCTCTAATGGAGGTGGAGGAGGAGGAAAGACGCTCTTTAAACTATCGTGGGGAAGCGTGTGTTCCCGAGAGCTTCTTTGATCGCGTAACGCAAGGGTTACGCGACGATCTCGAGCATGAGCGGAATAGGCGTCTCCAAATGGCGGACACTGCCTCGAAGCATCGAGCTGAGTTTGCCTTTTCTCAGCTTGAGAACGAGAGATCTCTGACATCTCTTCGTGACGAGCTAAGGGTAGCTCGTGAGATTGTTGATCGGTCTCGGGATGAGATAGCTGCTCTTAGACCCTTGTCGATGCCCACAATCGGGAGCACAAGGCCCTCTGTGAGATGCTTGAACGCCAGGGCATTCTTCATCGGAAGAAGCAGCGTACTGATGGTACGGCTTAAGCCGACCAACGTAAAATGTGGGATGCGTTCGCATCTTATGTGGCAACTCGATCGTGTATGCGTTGCCTAGGCGATGCAATACACGAAATGGGCCGATGTACTTGGGTAGTAGTTTACTGCTACTCAAGTTAGTCACTACATGCTTTGGTAGATTAACCGTAGACAGTAGGACTAAGTCACCTTTATCAAATAAAAGAGTGTTTGCCCTTCCATTATTGTCAGCGTTTTGCTTTTGCTTATCCACCGCTTCGGCGATGGAGTCTTGCACAAAACGGACTACCGTTTCACGAGCCAGCATGAACTCATCTGCTGACTCGTTAGCTTCAGTGCGCTGTGAGTGCACTGCAGCAACATCAACATTTTCTTCAGTGAGGGCTTCCGCACTCTCACTGGCATCATCTTCTCCGATATCGATGTTATCGATATCGGCATCAAACACAATGACCTCTTCGTCAGAGCGTGATGAGCGTGAACCAAATCGGTTTTTGCTCGCGCGAGTCTCTCCCCCCCTTAAACCAGAGTTACACTCGAGTAAGGTGGGTACACGTGGATGGCGCAAGCCATTCACGTAAAACGGTGTATGTGTCGTGGACGCATGCACCGAGTTGTTAATGGAAAACTCTAACATCGGCAAGAACTCACTCCAACTCTTAAAGGAGTGTACGTATCCTCGAAGTATCTCTTCGAGGACACGATTGGCACGTTCCGTCTGACCATCTGACTCTGGTGATCAGAGGTCGACATCTGCAAGCGCGTTCCGAGTGATTTGAACACGGAGCGCCAGAAATCAGCAGTGAAGCATGGATCTCTGTCTGATACGAGTTCATGGGGCAACCCATGAAGTCGGAAGATGGTGTCAATAAAGACACAAGCACAGCCACTTGCCGTGATTGTCTCTGGTACAGCCACAAGATGTACCACCTTCTGAGCCTATCAACAGACACAAGAATACCCGTATTCTTGTGATCGTCTTTGGGTAACTCGAAGACGAAGTCCATCGATACGGACTGCCAACACTCTGCCGGAACTGGTAGAGGATGTAAAGGTGCACGCAGTGAAGGACTTGACTTCACTCGCTGACAAACTTCGCATGCGCGAACGTACTTTCGCACAAACTGATGCTGGCGGGGCCAGTAAAAGTCTCGACTCACCGTGAGACATGTTTTCCCACGGCCACGTGGCAACACGTGGTGTGTCACCAGTAACGGCTGTATAATACAGTAAACCGTTGCGAGTAGTGTATCGATCTGATGCAGATCGATACGCAGACGATAATCGTTTCAACGGTTCTCGAGATGGCTGTGAGAGATGTGTCAACAACTTCACAATCTCACCATCTTGGGCATATGCCCGCCTCACATCATCATACAACGTTGAAGATGGTACTGAGGACGTCATAACCGCAACAGTGGCTGTCTCACTGTTGGGCTTCGCGACTGGTTCAAAGTCGAGACATCGTGAGAGTGCATCAGCGACGAAATTAAGTCGTCCTGGTTTGTACTCGACCGTAAAGTTGTATTCCGCAAAGAATGACAACCACCGCGCCATTCGTTGTGAAAGGTGCGGGCTGCTCACTGCCGTGCGTAACGACGCATGGTCAGTGTAAACGATGAAGGGTCTATCTCCTAATAGATAGACTCTGAACTTCGCGAGTGCATACTTCATGGCAAGGAGTTCCTTGTCATGCACCGGATAGTTCCGCTCAGCTGGTTGTAGCTGACGCGACTGATAGCAGACGACGCGTTCAACGCCTTCAAGATCGTACTGCATTAGTGCACAGCCGATTGCGAAATCGCTGGCATCACAGACCACATGAAATAGCCTGTCCTGATCGGCAATTGCTAGGACTGGGGATCGTATCAAGCTCTGCTTGATACCATCAAAGGAGCGCTGACATGCAGCGTTCCATAACCACCTCTCGTTCTTTTTCAACAAACGAGAGAGGTGTACAGTCATCTCGGCGCAATAGCGTGAATACTTATGCAAATACGCCGCTAGCCCAAGGAATTTTCGAAGACCTTTGACATCAACCGGCACAGGCCAGACGGTGATCGCCTGGATCTTTTCGGGATCAGGACGTACACCGTTCTTACCAACGATGCACCCAAGAAGTGGTATTTCGCTTGCTGCAAATATACACTTCTTCAGATTTGCATACAATTGATGCTTTCGCATGATTGTAAGAACCTGTCGGACGTGGTATCTGTGAACCTCAACGTCCGACTTTCCATCATAGCCCGACTATGGATGAATACGTCATCGAAATAACTCGGCGCGAATACTCGTACTGGTCTCAACAGATGTGATACACATCTGTTGAACGTGGCAGGGGCATTACTAAGCCCTTGTGGCATTACTAGCCGTTTGCAGAGCATGCCGCTAGGCGTTCTCACTGCGGTATAGGGTATGTCCCGTTCACGCATAAGGATTTGATAGGAGCCATCCATCAAATCCATGGACGAATAGATGGTGCTCTTTGACATGCCATCAATGATTACGTCCTTCCTCGGTATCGGCGTCTGATCCGGTACCGTTGCAGCATTCAACTTGTTGAACGCATGCACTATCCGCCACTCTCCTGTTGCTTTTTGCACACAGGATGTTGAAGAGCTATCTGGGGAAGTTGATTCCCTCACATGGCCCGCAGCTAAAAGATCGGCAAAGAACTTGTCGATCGCAAGTACTTGTTCACGAGGCAGTGGCCACTGCTTCATGACACAGTACTTCGAGCCTGGTTTAAGCTCGACCTCGTGTCGAGTATCTGTATCCTTTGGTAATTCGCACGGAACAGTTTCAGGGAATACATCCTTGAATTCAACCAAATCTTCATAGAGAGGATTTGTCTTGAGCGATTCCCACGATTGGGAGTCATACCGCTCAGCTCGTGTCTTTTCATCGAGGACACTCTCGTCCATCGATGATCTCCTGAGATCTCTCTCGTTCTCAGTAAAAACTGTTGCTGACCTTATGTCGGCTACACACTCGTCGTCAGCGACGAGTACGCAGATCTGCTTGACTTTGCCACTACGCAGATCACACAATAACCTTTTATGCTCGAGCGTTGGCAACTGAGTGATCTCCGAAATCAATTTCGGAGGCGCAATCAAATCAAGTGTATAAGGCCTACACTTGATCCGTTATTGACTTGGACATTCAATGTCTCTGTCATTTCCTGGGGACTTATTCCCTCAGGCTTCGAAGGACTTATTCCTTCGGCTTCCCGGGGACTTATTCCCGCGGGTTTCGGGGAACTTATCTCCGCCGTAATGTAATCTTGGGACTTATTCCCTTTACTTCCTCTAGCTGTGGTTGCGCAACCACAGCGAGATCCTCTACGAAAGACTCTCCAGTTGATCTAGGATTATCGTTTCGCTTAACCTGTGCGATCGATTGTTTCTCTTCTAGATGTTCCCCGCTAGAGATACATCTTTGTCCCGGTCCACCCGACTTATTCGAGTGGTGGACCTTCGGCGCAGCCTGTGTTTCCTCACAGCCGCCGGAACTTTGCTCCGAAGTGTAACCTTTTGTTACACTAAGGTTTCATTCAGTCGTACTAATTACCGTACCACAAGTGAGGCCATCACACTCACTCGTAGTACATCCACACGCTTGTGGACGCTCCAAAACGTTCATCAGATGGCCATCTGATGAACAAGCGGCAGGCATCGTTACTGTTCGATGTTGCCAGTTTACCCGTGGTTCGTACCTTCTGAGCCACGGTATTCCAAGGATGACATCATATTTGTCATCCAAATCCAATACGATAAAGTCATCGTCATATTGGGTATCTTCTAGCGTATAGTGGATCTTCACTATGGCCGCTGCACTTGCCAAGAAGGGCCGCCGAGGCCAAGCAGAAGGATCTGGAGCGGAAGCTGTTTGTCAAGGACATGGCAAACGTGGGAAAATATGTCGTCATTATCGATGTCTCGATGAGATACGAGTTTGTAATGGATCATGTCTCGACATGAATGTCGTTCCGACACGTGGTGTCCGCGATCATGCACACCAAGAAGCGCTGCGTGCTTATAGAGTTAGGCGGTACGAAAAATACCATCGTCGGCTAGTACTTCCGCGCTGGCGTCGCGCTCGCGCTGCAGCGCATTAACGATCTATTCGTCGACGAGTCGATCTGGCGCTATCACTTACCAGCGATGGCATTACCCACCGCGGCCAGCATTTCTTCGACCTGAGCCTGCGCGTGTCCTACCACGGCGTCCTGCTAACCTTCACATCGTGGACATCCTCTAGTTTGAACGCCACGCGGCATTTAACACTTTAAACATGCTGGTGGAGTTCATGAACGCGCTGTACAGCCTTTGGCGCCACAAGCTGATCAAATCCGGCAGTGACGGCGAGCCGACTAAGGTCGGGCGACTCAACGACCTGGAGACGCGCATGGCCCACGAGGCTGAGCACCATATCCTGCACATCTAGTGCCCGCTGCACCAGATGGACGTCTTCGTCAAGGACGGCGCCGAAATACTTTATACCGGCGACTGCTACAAACGGGAGTGGTCGATTCTGGTCTATCTGCGCTCATAGACGAATCCAAGCAACCGCATGAACGTGAAATGGTAAAGAAGACGAACCGGGAGTTCTGCTTAACTTTATCAACTAGTGCAGCCGCATAATCATTATGCACGTAACGGTCAATGCCAGCGACAAGCTGCCGTCGGATCAGTGGTGGGTCATCACTTACGCGACCGTGCCCGCTTTCGAGGATATCATCAATACGTTCGTCGCCACTCAGATAGCGATGCTCGGCATCGTCCGTGACGACGATGAAGAGGCCAAAAACAACAACGACGAGTTCTAGACGTTCGAGCAGTGGCGTATCGAGCGGGCCGAACTCGTCCACTACGTCAAGGGCCAGGGCTCGTCCCCCAGTCATGCTACGAAAGCATGGACGCACCGACCCAAAAGAGGATCGTGAGCCAGCTCGCCAAGTACACCATTTTCGTCGTCACCGTATTCGGCACATCCGCTCTGAGCGCGAAGAAATTTATGCGCCGTTCAAGCAAGACGCCCGCCTATTCTGCCTGCTCATATCGTCAATCTGCAACACGACGACTTCATCGAGCGCGTGCTCTACCCGTACCACCTGTCCAAGTTCTGTTTTGAGGAACGCACCGACTAGGAGGAGGAGGTTCATCGGTATTTGTTAAAGATATACAAAGAGGACGCGGTGCTGCGCGCCACTCTTAACAATCATGAAGATCAGAATACGTTCAACGACGCATGGGACACGGTGACCCAGAAATCGCGTTTCGAGCAACTTCGCGCCTTACTCAGCGCACAGGCCACCGCCTTCGCCAACACGACGTATGTCGAGTCGAACTTCTCCATCCTCACATGCAACATGGATGAGTTCCTTACCTGCTAAGACGCATATTTTGTTGGAGAGTATCTTTCAAACGTAATAGCGCGCCATTATGAAGGACCTGGACCGTGCATGAGTAAAATCTAAAACTAAGCTTCAGTGGATTCCATAAACTAGCTTAGATTATTAAATTTACGGAAGACCGTTAGTTTAGAAGGCCCAAATTACACAATCACTACCGCTTCCATTGTTGGCTCGACGATGTTGCTGGACGGGCTAACTGTATGCTTTGTTGTACACTGGAGATTAGAATAATTATGGATGCTCCGCTTCGTCCAAGTTTTGAATGAATGCGCACAATGAAACACCTATCTCTTCGATGAAAAAGTTGTTTCTGGTGTGCTATACAATAATGTCGTGTATTTAGTAAACATGTGCGGTGAATTTAACTTTTTATCAAGTCATTAGCGTGTTGACGTGCATAAGCGTAGTACACCAGCATGCACAATACTTTTGTGCATATAACGACGACAGTTTTTGGTAAGGTGTGGAGAAGACACGTCGCTTGATTGGCAGAAAGAATAGGAAGTACGCACAATAGCGTTAATATTTGAAATGCCTCGGAATTACAAACTTAGATGCTTGACTTATGCTCGACAAGATCCGTAAGCAATTTAGACTCCGTAAGTTCAAGCATTTTGCAATGTCGTACCCGAATGTGCCAATATCACGCATGTTACCGTCGACGTATTGAAATAGGTCTAATCCTTTTTACAGACAGATGTACGGGAAAATACACCATTGCTTGCTAGGTATCGTTTTGATATGATACATTGTGCGGTTTATCGAAGATGAATTGCTACTGACCTTAAAAGGCTTTATTCGACGTCAGTGCAGTTATGTTGGAATTTAGTGTTGTAACAATGAAATTTTTAAGCTTATCGTGTCGTGAATTCCGGTAGATTCACCAAAATTTATGGCTTAATCTTGGTCTGGGGCCTGTCGAGAGGATGGAACGATCTCAAGGTTGTACTGGAAGTCATTGAGGGAAACACGAGTAACATGTTAACTAATCAATCTTCTTTAAAATTATAAACAGGCTGGTAGTTATTTCAAGCTCATAAAGCTTGAACTGGAGTGACACACGCACGTATACAAAAATCAAGACAGCACGACACAAGCGCACTTTTAAAGCCCTCCCCAGAAAAGGGGACGCAGACAAACATGCACGATTTCCGATCACAAGAAAGTGGAAGACTAAAAATGTGATTGAACTTTATAAAACTGAGCAAATGGATCGATGTCCGTAAAATGCAGATCTTTGCAAGTCCGTGTCGAAATTGAAGACGGATTGAGTCCGTAAGTCGTGCCCGCAAACGCGTCCCCTCTGACCCTCCCAGGCGCTAAAAGATGTTAAATTATAGAGAAGACTGCTCGCGTCAAGATTGACGCTTAATGATCTCTACCAGCTTCTGGAAACCAATTTCCCATTATAGATTCTACGCCTGCGCAGCACATGGCTAGCACGCGCCGGTGATCTCGTCTCTCGAGAAAAGCTTCGATGAACAGATTCAAAGAGCAGAATTAAACAGTTTGGGCCTTTTAAGGTCGCAAATACCGAGTAAAAAGACGTCAAAGCTCAATATTCATCGTTTCACGGCTAGCAAGCTTTACGTAGGACGGAACAGTGGGATCCGTAAATAGGCAAAAATTTATATTGGCGAACTGGAGATGGTCAAAATTACCAGTGTTTATTGCTCGGCCGAGCTATTTAAAAAGAATATCGTAGGGTGTATCTCCGGACGATAACTATTTGATCCAGAACCTAGCAACATGGTAAGCAAAAATCCGCAACTAATTAAAATTACTTTGACGAATCTGACCACAAAATCTGCTGTACCTGACGCATCTAGATCGAATGAGCTCCTCAAGAAAATAACTGATTGCGACTAACACCAAAAAAATACGTCGTATTGCACCATAAGCTTAAGCTGATGACCCAATTTTACTTATATTGCTGGGACTACAGTGCACACTCACAAGGACTGATAGCTAGGGCACAAGCATTCAAAAACGACGGGAGAAACGACAAAAAAACCGTGATGTTGTCGCAGCTTTTGGAGGGATCCACCAGCATTACAATTGTGGAAGAGTCCATCGTACTAAAAAAATCTGTCCACATGAGTCAAAAAGTGAATATGCTGATGCACTAGCATGACAAGGGCAATGAAGGAAATTTCGCTTTGGCCGTGAGCACTATTTATCATGCAAAAACGCTTTGAGCATTCAATTGTATAAGATGTCGAACATGTTGGATAATGGACCCGGAGCAAGCTCACATCTCGCCGGAAATGATACATTACTTTATAAAGCATTGCCGTATGCAGATGGATTTTTGTGCACAACGGCTCTACGTTGCACGTGACAAAAGGCGACAGTATAATCTTTAAGTCACACTTTGTTAAAGACATCCATTAATTCATTTCTTGCGAAGTCTAATTAGCTTTGCACTTTCCAAAGAATTACGAAAGGTTTTGTCAGGTCAGCTTTAGAAGTGAGACACCGGTTAGTCGACGATGACAACAGTGGCAAGGACACACATGGAACCCGAACTGTGATCGACTTTAGGATAGTCAATGACGTGTGCATGGTGAACAAAATCGATTAACAACGGAAGGAAATGAAGGCCAAGAGCCTTGTTGATGTGGCACTATCAGCGGTCGCTAAAAATAGTGGCTTGTTATTAGCGTGCAAGGGTACACAAGTATAGTTTCAGCAGAGACTCGACACTCTATCTTACTATTCCATGGAGAGCATAGCCAAGATTACAAGTATCGGCAAAAAAATCAAGACGTACTACCTTCTAATGGTGTCACATGCCCAAAAGAGGATACGGCAGAGCAGCTCGAAATAATTTCGGTGAAATTCTCCCTAGACAGGGATAATAAAGTCATTTTCTGCAACCTCGATAACTCTATTCACTTCAGTACAAGCTCTGTCATCGATACATAATCACGTTTATTGACTACACTACCACATATGCTCAAGCAAATGCTGCGACACAAAAAAACAAGGGCACGACAAAGTTTTTTTGCAATTTCTATATAGTGTGAAGCCGAGTTTAGCTGCACGTTTTTGTTTTACGGAACGACGGTTGTAGTTAATACGTCATTTATCTCTAAACTAGTTTTGCAAGAATGCTGGAATCAAAAGCTAGACGAACGAGTCCAACAGTTTGCAAACCAACGGTAAAGCCGAGTGTATGAACCGCACGATTTTAAACATAATTCAATGAATGTTTTTTTTTGCTCAGACGATCCCTCGGTCACTTAATTGATGCCGCAAAGCATGCAGCATTTTCTAACCAGAAGTCCTACTCGTGCTAAACCGAACCAAGCTTTAACACTCGAGTTACGAACTGGCAAAACTCCAGTTTACGAGATGTTGTTGTTGTATTAATTTTCCATGGCATGTTTGGTCCGTATATCTGAACTTTGTCTTATGGCACACACCGTGTGTATATACATGTTAGGTAAAAACGAGGAAGCCAAGAATAAAATTAAAAAACATTAAACATGCTTTTGTTACGCAGTGACCGATCAATGCGTACGACGCCTCACGTAAATGCCATAGACATCAGAAGTCACTACCAACAATAGCACTTAACTTTGACCAGACAGTAACCTCAGTCAAAAAGTATCGCCTTCATCTTGTTATTGTCGCGGTTTGCAAGTTACTAAGTCTTGTAAACTCGCTTAGTCGGCAGAGTCTTGGCATCTCGAGGCCTGGTCACGATCTTCCTGGTATAATTTTCCTCCACGGATCGGATCTCCTACTGTTCGGCTATCGCCCACATGCGGTGAAGTGATGATAAAAATATTTGTATACGTGGAGTCGATTGATCGATAACTACGGCTGATCGTCAAAAGGATTGATCGGCTGCTGAGATGTACAATTTCGAGATCGTATGTCTAAATAACGAGATCGATTATTCAGATAACAGGTTCGAGTGTTTTTATGGTAATCAAGGTTGAGAATATGATCGAAGATCAGGAAGATCGACGATCAATCAAAGAGATTTAGGACCGATTAAGAGGATCCATCAGAGATATCGATGATCGATCAGGAGTGGACCACTTATGCAAAGAAATGATCTAAGGAATGCAAAAACTCGTGGCATAATGCCCTGGTAAACATACATGCACAATGGTAGTTTATGTTTTGATTGGTTTGCGTTATATTAATTTTTATTTCTTCTGGTAAACGTCTCGACTTCGCTCCCGGGCTAGAAAAATAACTTCCCGACGTCAATAATTCTGCGCAAATCGCACATAAGCCATATTCCCAGATAATTGGTTATGTACAAACTGTCACCCCCCTCCTCTGCGATTGGAAGCAGCAAGAATGTATAGGACGTGGCGAAAAATGGCGAGACGGATCGCATGGTCAGAATGCTTGCGTATCAAGCATCCGTGTAGTGGAAAAGGCGATCTCGTTGAGACATGGGTAAATTACATCAAGTGAACTACAAGTACACCCGTGATCGTGTAAAGAATTTTTAACGATCACTA